TTGGGCAGCTCTGCAGCACCATCACCCATGCCTGGCTGGTCAATCCCAGAACCCCAGGATGGTCTGGGTTGGAAGGGACCTTAAAGCCCATCTAATCCACCCCCTGCCATGGGCAGGGACACCTTCCACCAGCCCAGCTTGCTCCAAGCCCTGTCCAACCTGGCCTGGGACACTTCCAGGGATGGGTTTTCCACAACCTCTCTCCTCCTCTGGGGGGGGGTCTCTGATCCCACAGCTCAAATGCAGATTTATTTTCTCTTAACAGAGAAGATGAGCCCAAATTTGCAATTGCTTTGCAATTAATTACAGCTATCATTGTGCTACAGCAGAACTCAGGTACAGAAATGCTGCTGCAGAGCAGTGACATGACTTAAAACATGTTTTTCCTTTGCTTTTTGAGGTTGGAAATGGATTATTTCACAGGAACATAAATAACTCAGAATTCCTGCAGCAAAACATCACTTTATGTGCTGCTATACATTTTTTTGTGTGCCTTCACAGTGAACCAAGCAATGGAATTTTTCCTTTTCTCTCAGAGCTGAGATAATCATGATTTAATACAGATCATGTGTTGGTGGTGGAACCCCCCAAACCACGGCCAGGCATTACAGGAGAACTTGGGGTGGATCAGAGAAGGGTGGGAAGATAAAGCTGAACCTGCTGAATGCAAACAGACCTCGGCTGAGATGCTGAAACGTATTTTTATTGCTTTGAAAATGTCATTAATGAGGGAGGGCAGCGACTCTTTGTGAGGGGGTTTGAGGACGAGACGTGTTTGTTTCATCTCTGGCTGTTTGATCCCATCACAGCTCTTTGGGGCCTCTTTGCAGGAAGGCTGGCACTCTGCTGAGCCCCAGAGGGCAGTTCCAGAGCACATTTGCTGCTCTTTTGGAGCCCTGTGTGCTGCTGATGGTCTGAAATCTCTGCTGGGAAGCAGCTCTGGCTTGGGCAGCTCTGCAGCACCATCACCCATGCCTGGCTGGTCAATCCCAGAACCCCAGGATGGTCTGGGTTGGAAGGGACCTTAAAGCCCATCTAATCCACCCCCTTCAAATGCAGATTTATTTTCTCTTAACAGAGGAGATGAGCCCAACTTTGCAATTGCTTTGCAATTAATTACAGCTATCATTGTGCTACAGCAAAACTCAGGTACAGAAATGCTGCTGCAGAGCAGTGACATGACTTAAAACATGTTTTTCCTTTGCTTTTTGAGGTTGGAAATGGATTATTTCACAGGAACATAAATAACTCAGAATTCCTGCAGCAAAACATCACTTTATGTGCTGCTATACATTTTTTTGTGTGCCTTCACAGTGAACCAAGCAATGGAATTTTTCCTTTTCTCTCAGAGCTGAGATAATCATGATTTAATACAGATCATGTGTTGGTGGTGGAACCCCCCAAACCAGGGCCAGGCATTACAGGAGAACTTGGGGCGGATCAGAGAAGGGTGGGAAGATAAAGCTGAACCTGCTGAATGCAAACAGACCTCGGCTGAGATGCTGAAACGTATTTTTATTGCTTTGAAAATGTCATTAATGAGGGAGGGCAGCGACTCTTTGTGAGGGGGTTTGAGGACGAGACGTGTTTGTTTCATCTCTGGCTGTTTGATCCCATCACAGCTCTTTGGGGCCTCTTTGCAGGAAGGCTGGCACTCTGCTGAGCCCCAGAGGGCGGTTCCAGAGCACATTTGCTGCTCTTTTGGAGCCCCATGTGCTGCTGATGGTCTGAAATCTCTGCTGGGAAGCAGCTCTGGCTTGGGCAGCTCTGCAGCACCATCACCCATGCCTGGCTGGTCAATCCCAGAACCCCAGGATGGTCTGGGTTGGAAGGGACCTTAAAGCCCATCTAATCCACCCCCTGCCATGGGCAGGGACACCTTCCACCAGCCCAGCTTGCTCCAAGCCCTGTCCAACCTGGCCTGGGACACTTCCAGGGATGGGTTCTCTGGGCATCTCTGTCTCATCACCCCCACAGGGAAGAGTTTATTCTTAATTTCCAATCTAAATCTCTCCTCTTTTAGTTTCAAACCCTTCTCCTTTGTCCTTCCCTCTCTGCCTGTGTAAAAATCCCTCAACCTTGGGTCTGACCCCATGGAAACCTTTCAGTGAGGCCTCCAGTGGAGCTGGGAATAAAGGGAAAAGCCAGAGGTGGGATCCATGGCCTGGTTCAATTCACCTGACAATGCAGAGGGTGGTGCCTGGTGGTCCAAGAACCTACAGATGAGGATCATCCAAGGCACTGTTTTATGGGGATTGATGGGTGCAAACCTGGGATGTAAAAATCCCTTTTCCATTTGCTGGAGGCTCAGCTCAGGTGTTCCCAAGAGGTGAGAGCCAGAGCTTGGAGCCCCTCCTGGCCGATGAAAAAGTGCTTTAAAGCCCCAGTTTTGAGGTTCTGCACCTTTATCTTCCCTTGCAGGTGTTATTTTAACAACAAAGCACAGAGCAAAGTTAACACGACCCTCCTATCAGACTTTGTTCGGTCCCAGGCATGAGAAACTGCTGAAAAATCACAAATAAAAATAGTTTATTGAGGTTATTAGCAGCTAATTTGGGCTGTTCGAAACGTTCTGTTTGTCGTGCCCATCCAGTTCTTTTTTTTTTTTTTTTTCCTTTTCTCCTGCCTGAAAATGATTTACATAATATATTGACTGGGTTCTGTGTGTGTAAGCACTGCTTGTTCTGGGATTTTCAAACAAAAAGAAGCTCAGCTCCTGTCTCAAAGTTTCTTTTTGTGGCACTTTCCAACTGGTTCAGCCTCTGGAATCAAAGAGTTGCTTCCCTGGAAGGGACTGTTGTTTTCCCAAGGGAAGGAGAGAGAGACAAGTTCATTTTGCTGCAAAAGCCTAATCTTGATTAAAGCCATTGAAACAAAGGAAAGAATAAAAGAAATTAAGAAAATCAACCACTCAGGTTCTTGACTGTGTGGTTAAAATTAATTAGCAGCATCCTGACGCCTTTTGTGCTGTACCTGATACGTATAAATATATAAATAGCTACATAAAAAATACAAAAATATAACAAATTTTCCAGTCTCTAATTAAAAATCTTTCCTTCCTGAATAGAAGAAGTTTCTCCCACCCTGTGTTCGGATGCAGCTCAGTTTTAGGCTTGTTTTCCCACGTGGGGAAAGACCAACTAACTATTAAATAAAAAGGCGAATTCAGCGTGGCCTTTGCAGGCTCCAAAGGGTTGGTTTGTCCAGGGAGCCACTGGAGTGACAAAACTGGGGCTGAATGAGCATTTTCATCACTTTTGCAAGTGTAAGGAACAAATGCCCTGTGATTTTTTGGTGTGTTTGGTGGCTCAGCCACCCCTTGACATCACTGTGAGTACCCAGCAAGGGAAAAGGGCTTGTTATCCAAAATATGGGATCTGCAGCCCCTTCCAGGTATTAAAGGGGCTCCAGGAGAGCTGGAGAGGGTCTGGGGACAAGGCATGGAGGGACAGGACACAGGGAAAGGCTTCCTACTGGAAAATGGGGGATTTGGGTGGGATATTGGGAAGGAATTGCTGGCTGGGAGGGTGGGCAGGCCCTGGCACAGGTTGCCCAGAGAAGCTGTGGCTGCCCCTGGATCCCTGGGAGTGTCCAAGGCCAGGCTGGAGCACCCTGGGCTGGTGGGAGGTGTCCCTGCCCATGGCAGGGGGTGAGATGAGATGAGCTTTAATGTCCTTTCCAACCCAACCCATTCTGGAATTCTGTGAAATGGATCCTTTACTCAAACACTCCACAGGTTAATTCTTTTCCAGGCTGGGAAAGGGCTCCTTCAGCCTGGCCTTGGCAGGCTCCAAAGGGCTGGTTTGTTCCAGGAGCCACTGAAGTGACAGAGTTGAGTGCCAGCAGCCATTCCATGGGTGGGACAGCTGTCCCCAGGCTGGGGATGGCTGGAGCCCTGCAGGGTTGCCCCAGGGCAGGAGCAGCAGGTACAAACCAGGGCAGGCTGCAGCCTCAGGCAGGTTTTTCCCTCCTTTCCTTCCACCAGCTGGCACAAGGCTGTGTTTGCTTCCAGATGGATTGGAGGTGACACCGCTGGTTGTGTCAGTGATGTTGGGATGATATCTCTATTTTCTCCTCTCTCGGTGCTCTGGTTGGACAGGGGGGAGGAAGGGCTTGTAAACACCTCCAGAGATGGATCACAAACACGGAATGCTCATGAATTATTTTGGTTACTCCTCACTTGTCAGCAGCTCAGCCCAATTTAGGTGCTGTGTTTCCTATTTTTCATTTTGGAAGTGACAAGGGCTCGGGCTCTGTGTACTCTGGGGTGGGATTGGATTCAGGGTTTGGATCCTGCAAAAAATTAACCATGTGTTAAATGGTGCCTTGGAAGCTTCAGAGACTTCCCAAACATCACAGAACCCCAGGATGGTTTGGGTTGGGAGGACCTCAAAGCCCACCCAGTGCCACCTCTGCCATGGGCAGGGACACCTTCCACCAGCCCAGGGTGCTCCAACCTGGCCTTGGACACTCCCAGGGATCCAGGGGCAGCCACAGCTTCTCTGCCCAACCTGTGCCAGGGCCTGCCCACCCTCCCAGCCAACAATTCCTTCCCAATATCCCATCTCTCCTTGCCCTCTGGCAGTGGGAAGCCATTCCCTGTGTCCTGTCCAAAGTCTCTCCCCACCTCTCTTGGTTTGCAGTCAGGTGTGGTGGATCATCAGCCACAAAAATAGGAAAACACCCAAGAGAAAAAAATTCATGGATATTCTTCAGCACCCATGGAATGAAGCACATGGAATGAAGGCATGTGCAGATAAAAACACTGGGAAATTGAGTGAATTTTGAAGGGAGCAAATTTTCTTTCTGGGTCAGAAACCCCCAGGACCTCCCCACCCTCACAGTAGAAAAAAAATCATTCCTTATGTGGACTTTGACTGACCCCCTTTTAGTTTAAACCCTTCCTGATGGCTCCACACCCTTTTAAAATCCCATGTGGGCACCAAGCAAAGCCAGGTTTGTTCCTTGTTACACTGAACTGCTTCTCTTCTGCCTTTCAGCCTTAAAAAAAGGACGCTTTTGGATCACCCCCGACCCCTACCACAAGGATGACAACATCCAGATCGGGCGGGAGGTGAAGATCTCGTGCCAGGTGGAGGCCATCCCGCCCGAGGAGCTCACCTTCAGCTGGTTCAAGAACGGGCGGCCCCTGAGGAGCTCGGAGAGGATGGTCATCACCCAGACCGACCCCGACGTGTCCCCCGGCACCACCAACCTGGACATCATCGACCTCAAGTTCACCGACTTCGGCACCTACACGTGCGTGGCGGCGCTCAAGGGCGGCGGCATCTCGGACATCAGCATCGACGTCAACATCTCCAGCAGCACAGGTGAGCGGGCAGGGGCTGCTGGAGGGATGGAGCCTCGGGATGGCTTCATCCCTTATTCCCTCCTGGAATAAGCACTGCTCACCACGAGGGTTCCCAGGCACACCAGGCTGGACGGGGCTTGGAGCAACCTGGAGAGGAGAAGGCTCCAGGGAGACCTGAGAGCCCCTGGCAGGGCCTAAAGGGGCTCCAGGAGAGCTGGAGAGGGACTGGGGACAAGGCATGGAGGGACAGGAAACAGGGAATGGCTTCTCACTGGAAAGGTGAAGATTTAGGTTGGATATTGGGAAGGAATTGCTGGCTGGGAGGGTGGGCAGGCCCTGGCACAGGTTGGGCAGAGAAGCTGTGGCTGCCCCTGGATCCCTGGAAGTGTCCAAGGCCAGGTTGGAGCAGCCTGGGCTGGTGGAAGGTGTCCCTGCCCATGGCAGGGAGTGGAATGGGATGAGCTTTGAGGTCCTTTCCTTCCCAACCTATCCTGGGATTTCTATGATCTTAGTATCAGTTAAAAAACTGGGAAGATCATTCTAGGGGAAGAGCCAAGTTGGGAATGCCATGAATTGCCCACCTGGCACACAGTAACCACTGTACCATCTCCACTTTCCTGGGAATCATCTGGAAAATCAGTGGGATCCATTGGAAACATCCACTATGTTGGCCATTCCATAGCTGGCCATGCTGTGAGCCCATCCCTGTTCCTGCAGTCAGCAGTGAATTCTGTCAGCTCTGAAATTCCCTGTCCTGCAGGAAGACACCCAGGAAAGTGAGGGGGAAGAAACCCTGGAGTTTGGGCTCAGCCTCTTTTAGCGTGTTCAGCTCTGCTGGGGCTGCGATTTCATCACCGGCAGAAGGGGAAGCTGAAACACTTGCAGTGCTTTGAAGGTCGTTACTGATTCATCAGCTCTCATTACTGCTGGTAATTAGCAGCATAAGGCCCAGGCACAAACACGTTTCCCAAATGCCAGGACTTGCAGGGGTTTATTAATAATCTCCCTCCCTGTTCCTGTCTGCTGCTTTTGGGGGGAGGGATTTCTCTCTTGCTGTGGGGTCTTGTGGCACCTTTAGGTCTCCCCAGAAGGTTGGAAAGGGATGTGTGGCAGTGCCTGTTGACACACTTGGCATTGCTACTCGTTTAGCAGGAGTTGTTTGGTTTTTTTTTTTTTCATTGCCATTTTGTACTTTCAGCAGGAAAGGCAGAGATTTATGTCCTGAGTATCTTACATAAATGGACCTGAAGTAATCCCCTCCCAGCTCCCCCCCACCCCCCCATATCTCAACAAAGTAGGTCACTGAATAGTGAAAATCAAGACTCAAATGTTGAATATTTGCCCTGTAAAAGCCTCGTCATCCATAAAGCCAACCCTGGGCAAACGTTGCTGAGAGCCAGGATGGCTCTGTGGGACCAGGTCAGGGGGAACCTGAAGGCACAAGCTCTTAAAAAAGCAGCAAGATGTTAAAAAAAGCAACAAAAATACACTCCTTCAGTAAGGGGGTTCATGGTATGCAAAAAAAATAAAAGAAAAGAGAATGGATCAGGAAAATATGTCAGTCTGTCTAAGGGATTTTTTTCTCTGCTTTAAATCTTACATTTGAAGCAGGAAGAGTAAAGTTTTGGGGTCTGTGTGTTCTGCTGTGTTCAGGACAGGTTCTTACACTGCCTTTAGCCCTGAAAAGCAGCATCAGCCCAGTGAGACAGGGAACATCTGTCCCTCCTGGCCTCTTCTCCTTCCCCCTTTCCCCTGCAGACAGTTCTGTGCAGGGCAGGGAGTTGTGAGTCCAGGGGATGTTTTACTTCATCTTTTTGGCTGCACCGCTCTGAGCTGCCACGGGAAGGGCTGGCTGGAGGAGGTGGAGATCCTGCTTTTCCTGAGGGACTCCTTCCTGCCACCTCCCTCCTGCCCTGGCTGGGCACAGCTGGGTGTCCCACACGGCAAATACATCCAACAAATCGCTGCTGCCTGGGTAAAGCTGAAGATGTGCCGAGCACGTTCCACCCGGGGATAGGCCCATCCCAGACACGGATCTTGGGAATGAACACAGGGCAGGCTCCAGGTCTCCTGTTCCTCCATCTCATAGAATCCTAGAGTGCTTTGGATTAGAAGAAGACCTTAATGACCATTTCACTGTCCTGGGCAGGGACACCTTCCACGAGCCCAGGTTGCTCTAACCTGGCCTTGAGCAGGGTTATATTTGTCTTTCCATAAGTGCTGCTCGAGCCAGGCAGAGGAATCCATGAGTAACTAGTACATCTGAGGCTGTGCATCCTCCCTGCAGTGTGACTGGGCTTTCCCTGTTCAGCTCATCAGCTCTCTATTAACTAATGAATTAATTAAACATCCGGGCTGACGTGGGGGGACCTTCAGCCTTGATCTGTTTGTCCTCTGGTCATCTTGTTCCTGCTTTGATGCTACATAAAAGAGACCTTCATTTGAGCTCTAAATGTTTATTGAAATCACAGCCACTGGCTCGTTGCATAATGAAAAAGTGCTTTTTGTGAGATAATTAGTGCTCCAATTAAGATATTTGTAAACCTTAAGCACCGTCCAGAGTGATCGTTCAGCAACCACACAGACCTCCAGTTATTGAGGCAAATTGATTATTTTTGGGAGCCATTATCCTTGGAGTTTATCTTTGAAAGGAGGAGGTGAACAGCAGGGACAGATAAAGGCCGGATTTGGTTAAAAAGCTTTTTCTTTAATAGTTCTATTTTCGTACTTAATGTGCGGAGATTTTTCCCGTTGATTCTGTCCGGGGGAGCCGCCGTCCCTCCCCGTCACACAGCACAGAATGGGGGCCAGGAGGGGCCATCTCCTGCTCTGCAGCCCCTTCCCATGGAAATCTGCATTTTTTCTGGGATGTGTTCACCCTCAGGGGATTGGCTCCATCAGGATTTCTGGGAGCAGACACCCCCCGTGGCAGCCACAGCATCTTTATCCTTCTCCAGAGGGCTGTGGAGTTGGCTCCTCACATCTCCTGGTGCATGTGGAGCGTGGAGCTCCTCAGCATGGCTCCTGCCACAGCCCTGGAAGATAATTTGGCTAATTTGCCAGTGGCTGTGGATGTTCTGGGTTTAAAATGTTCCTCTTCAGTCAGACTGCAGAGTAAGGCGGTGTTTCAGGGTATTAGGGGTGTTGTATACATATATATTTGCACAATATTTCTAGTAAATATGTATTTATATAGACAGATATAGATAAATAGATATGGATACAGATACATTAGAAGAGTTCTAAAGCCCTGATTCTGGAATTATTTTACTGCCTAAGCAGATCTCTTGTCCAAGCCCCCCACCAGCACTTAAGGGAATGACATCAGGTTGCACCAGGGGAGGTTTAGGTTTGATATGAGGGAAAATTCCTTCATGAAAAGGGTTATAAAGCATTGGCACAGGTTTTCCAGGGCTGTGGTGGAGTCACCATCCCTGGAAGTGTTGAAAGAACGTGTGGATGTGGCACTGGAGGACGTGGTTTAGTGGTGCTGGGCTGGACTTGGCGATCTTGGAGGTCTTTTCCAACCTCAGTTATTCTGTGGTTCTCTGAAATCTATGGTTGAGGTTGTGTCTTCACCTGCAATTAGAAGTGGTTTGTGCCCCAGAGAACGTGGCCTGTGGTGTTTCCTCTTCTCCCCTGTGTGTGGGAGGGAGGGAACCAGAGTGATGAGGAGACAAAGCAACCGTGAAATCGAGGCACGATTCCCTCCCAGGTCACCCCATTTACCTTCCACGTGAGTACCTTGACAGACCCTCTCTCCTGGTGATGAAAGGCCACAGAAAGGTTAAAATGAATTCTCTTGACTTCAGCTGCTTTTCCAACCCTTTGGCTGGATCAGACAATCTCCCCCGGGCTCTTCTTTCGCCTCTGAGCCCCTTTCAGCACCTGCTCCCTGGTGTGTCCCAACACTTCTCCTAAAAGGACCCCACACCGGGGCTGTGCTGAGCAGTTTCAGCCTCTGTTTGCAGAGATATCTGCATAATTATCACTCCTGAACAGTTCTCACTGGCTGCCCTTCACAGGCTGAAGGATCTGCTCAAATACCTTTTGTATCCGAGCTCGGCTTCCCTTGCCCAGCTCAGCCTCTGTCTCAGCTCCTCCACCCCACCAGGGTGTGAATCATGGACAGGGAGCAAACGAGGATGATCCAACAGCACAGACTCAGAGCTCCAGGTTCATCAATCTCAGAGAAGCAGGACACACAGAGAACTTCAGCTCTGTCTCCTGGAGCAGCGTGGACTCCTCGATATTCCCGAGCCTTTAAATTCCTGGAACAGTGGGACTCCCAGCACTTATCTGGGGGGATTATCTGGGAGTAATCTCCATTTGGGATCATCGCCTGAGATGCAGCTCAACCCCTCCTGTGCTCTGCTTTAGCCTGTAATTACTGGGTGTTACCATCAGCCATGTTAAACAGCCTGACCACACCATCCCAAAGCTCCTCCCTCCTCACTGCTGAGAATTCCAGGCCTTTTCCCAGGGCTTTCCTTAAGGCACACAGGGATTTACAGAAGTGATATAATCCCCAGTGAAGGGTTCAGGATCGTGTGCCTCCCCCAAACCTACCATGGGACCACCTTGGACTAGATGGTGACTTAAGGATGGTGACAGTCCCAGCTGTGATGAGGGAGGAGTTGTGGGATAGTGTGATCATGCTACCATCAATAACAATAACAACAAAAATAATAACAAATTATTAACTATTAATTATAATTATTATAATCATCATGATGATTTATTAAATTTATACTATTATAGGATAGATACAGAAATTATTATGGAAATTATATAGAATTATAATTATATACATATTTATCATATAAATATATTTACCTAATAATATATTACATAATAATATTTATTATTGTAATTAAAAATGATGATGATGATGATGATAAGTGCAAGTACCCAAGGCTTGGTGGGCATAGTGGCACTCACTCAAAGCTTGCACTTGATGATCTTAGAGGGTTTTTTCAACCTTGGTGATCCTGGGAGATGGGATGGAAGGTCTGGGGGGCACTTTAACAGAAACAAAGAGGACAAGAGCTCAGGGCCCCCTTTGCCACCCCCCCTGCTGCCCAGTCAGGGGCTCTCAGAGGCAAAGGGGGTCTCAGCCCATTCTATTTAAGAGCCAGGAATGCTCATGGATCATCAGCATCCCTCTCTCTGCTGTGCCACTGCCCATTTCAAAGGGCAGCAGGATGTGTTCTTAAAGCAGGTGCTGCTTTAGAGTTGAAAAACAAGCTTTTGTTTTTCAGGGGATCACCCCCTATTGTAGAAAACACTGCTGAGAGTTTAGCTTTTTTATATTTTTATTTTTATATATTTTTTTTACTTATTTTGGGGAAAACTGCTGGGAGTTAATTTTTTAATGTTTGTTTGTTTGTTTGTTGTAAATGTTATTTTCTCTTTATCCTTATATTTTTATTTTTGGTGCTAGTAAGGGAAGAAAAACATGAAACTGTGATTTTCTCTTTGATTCTTTCGAGCTTTACTGCTCATGAAAACAAGTCCCACACGATCAGGCTGTCAGTGCCTGTCAGAGTCTCACAGTTCCCACACCCTGTGATAATTTTTGACCCTGTTACTAATTTCAGCTGCATTCGACAGCAGAAGAGACGTCTCAGGGATAATTAAATACCTGGGAGTCTGTGGAAATAAATAGATGGGTTTGAAAGGGGAAAGCCCATTAAAACCCCTCCCTGAGCAAAGGTTTAGTGCTTGTCCCTCTTCCTAATTAGACAGGAGACAATCAGCAGCCAAATTAAGGGGGAGATGCAGCCACGACCACTGGGGTGGGAGAGGGAAATAAATACAATAAATACTCATGGGACCTCCCTGTGCTGGGCATTTCAAGTCAGTTATGACACAGGAAAGCTCTGGATTTATGGCTTTACCCTTGGAATTCTTTGGTTTAATAGGTGGCCTTGTCCCTCCCCTCTCCTCCTCTGTTTCCAGTAAGGACATTAATAAATCCAGGACACCCCCAGGAGCAGTTGGATCTTCTCTTTTCTCCACCCCAAAGGGGTCCTGTACCAGTCACTGTCCTTCCTCTCAGGTGCCCCCAGAAGCTCCCTGGGAAGCAGGGTTTGTGTCCTTTCCCGCTTTCTTCCTGATGGGATTCATATTTTCCTCGGAGTTGATGAGTGGAAGTGTCCCAGGCCAGGTTGGGCACAGGTTGGAGCAACCTTGGCTGGTGGAAGGTGTCCCTGCCCATGGCAGGGGGTGGGATGGGATGAGATTTGAGGTCCTTTCCAACCCAAACCAGTCTGAGCATTCTACAAATCCCTGAAATTCCCCTGCTCTTGGTCCCAGATGCTGTTCCTTGTGGGATCACAGCTGGTGCCTTCCTGCATCCCACAGCCCAGGGGCTTGAGCAGCAGATCCTCCTGAGCCCCCAGGAACAGCTGTGCAGCTCTGCCCCCTTCCTCTCCACACCCACCTCAAGGACACACTGAACTTGTTTGGCTGCTCCTCTCACGATGATCTTATGAACTCCTGGAGCAGTTCCTTAAACCAGAAGAACCTTGTGGATGTCTGGGGAACATCTCCTCAATTTATTTGTATCCCTTCCCTGTTTCAGTCAGAGAATTCCAGACTGGTTTGGGTTGGAAGAGACCTTAAAGCCCATCCAGTGTCACCCCAGCCATGGGCAGGGACACCTTCCACCAGCCCAGGGTGCTCCAACCTGACCTTGGACACTTCCAGGGATCCAGGGGCAGCCACAGCTTCTCTGCCCAACCTGTGCCAGGGCCTGCCCACCCTCCCAGCCAGCAATTCCTTCCCAATATCCCATCTAAACCAGTCTGAAGCCATTCCCTGTGTCCTGTCCCTCCATGCCTTGTCCCCAGTCCCTCTCCTGGAGCCCCTTTAGGCCCTCCCAGGGGCTCTCAGGTGTCCCTGGATCCTTCTCTTCTCCAGGTGAACCCCCCCAGCTCTCCCAGCCTGTTTTGCTGCTCCAGCCAGGGCTGGGTGTTGTTTGAACTCAGCCACGAGCCAGGTGAGCTGGGAAATTGTCCAGAGGAGCCTCCTTCCTGCACTATTTTCTATAAACACTATCTTCCTGCTTGGAACATTTCCTTGGTCTGTGTTTCCACAGTGATCCAGGTCTCCTGGGAGCTGTCCTGTGCTCACAACCTGCTCTGGCACACAAGGGCATAACTGAACATGGGTGATGTTTTATTAATATTGGGAATGTTTTATTAAGCAGTTGTTCTCGTTTTTATTTTTTTATTTTTCTCCTTCTTATTTTGAAGCAGAAAATAATTTATTCTTTCCTTTCCTGTGGAAAAACCATTCCCACTCCTTCAGGCCCCACCAGACAGGAGCTATCAAAGCCCTCAAAGCAGCTGAAAGCAGCATTTTGGTACCTGTGAAGGTCCCTGATTTAAACTCTGATTCCTACCAGGCTTGTCAGGTCTGCAGATCCCGGGGGGAACACTGGGACAAGTCTCTTGTTTGTGTGTTCCCCTGGGGGGCTGGAATAGCCTTAGGTTGTTTTCCCTGCAGACAGGAGTGAGGGAGCAGTCCTGGAATTGCAGCAAAGGAGGTGAGGGCAGGACAGTGTGGAGAGGGAACACCCCTTGGAGGGGCTGTTTGCCCACAGAGAACATCTCAGATGGGTCAGGACAGAAGATCCACAAGGGATGTTTTCTGAAGGCACCAAAGGAAAGGGAGGGTGGGCAGTGTTTAATAAATACCTCCTGGATAAACCTGTGGACACCAACTGCATTCCATGTGCAGGTTTGGAACTCTGAGCTGGTTCCTGGGCTGGCTCAATTCCTCCTCATGGCACAGCCATTTACCCAGGAGTTGGATAAAATCAGCAGCCAGTCTGGTACCAAAGAAAGGGGTTTTAGTGCCAAATCCTCATAAGGAAGGAAGCCATAAGTTGCAGTGATGAAGTGCTGGCTGTGACTGATGCTCTGAGTGCGGGAGTGTGCTGGGACAGAGACATGCAGGGAGGTCACTGAGTGTCACCCAGGGCTGGCAAATCTCCTCTGACAACCTTGTCCCATAAATACAGCGACATTCCACAGCCTTCCCACAGGAGCAGTCACTGCCCTTGCTGTGTGGGTTTAAATTGCTCCTCAGTGAGCCTGACAGAGCTCCAGGGGTGTTTGGATGATCCTCTCTGGTTCATGGTGTGGCTCCTGAGGATGGTCCTGTGCAGGACTAAGGGTTGGATCCTTGGGGGTCCCTCCCAACTCAGGGGAGACCTTGTCACCCTCTACAGGAGGGGGGACGCTGGGGGATCAGTCTCTTCTCCCAGCTGTAGGACACGAGGGCACAGCCTTGAGCTGCACCAGGGGAGGGTCAGGATGGACACTGGGAAGGAATTCTTTCCATGGAGAGTGCTCAGCCACTGGAAGGGGCTGCCCAGGGAGGGGGTGGAGTCATCATCCCTGGAGGTGTCCAAGGACAGACTGGATGTGGCATCAGTGCCATGGGCTGGGTGACGGGGTGGGGTTGGGTCCTGGCTTGGACTGGATGATCTCAGAGGGCTTTTCCAGCCTGGGGGATTCTGGGATTCTGGGATTCTGTTGCCAGGACACGCAGGAGTCCCTCAGGTGTGTCTGCAGTGCTGATGGTCCAACCCTCCTCCTCTCCTCCGCAGTCCCACCCAACCTGACCGTCCCCCAGGAGAAGTCCCCGCTGGTGACGCGGGAGGGGGACACCATCGAGCTGCAGTGCCAGGTGACAGGGAAGCCCAAGCCCATCATCCTGTGGTCCAGGGCGGACAAGGAGGTGGCGATGCCAGACGGGGCGATGCAGACGGAGAGCTACGACGGGATCCTGCGGATTGTCAACGTGTCCAGGGAGATGACGGGCACCTACCGCTGCCAGACCAGCCAGTACAACGGCTTCAACGTGAAACCCAGAGAGGCTCTGGTGCAGCTCATTGTGCAGTGTGAGTACACCTTTCCTTTTCCTTTCCTTCCCTTCCCAAACCTTCCCTTCTTTCCTTTTCCTCCCCCTTTCCTTCCTTTCCACGTGGTTCTCCTGAGATAAAGCTGTTGATTTATTCCTCCCCTAAGTAAACAGCAGCAGGAGTCTTAGGGCTGTTACATATTTGATGCCGTGTTGTTGGGCTCTGTAGTTCCCCGAATCCATGAATTTAATGTAAATAGAGAAGTAAAAATGACATAGGAGCCTCATTTATATTGGAAAAAAAAACACCAAAAAACAACCAAGAAGTGTGAGGCAATCATTATTTTCCCCATGCCTGGCTTTGAATTCCTTGACACGGGAACAAGCAGATGAGATGGGAGGACAGATGTCTCTAAATGCAGATCTGATACCGATCTCGTTTGTTGGTGCTGTGTAAAACAAGCGGGGAGAAACGAGGGCAGGAGCTGTTCCCTGGGAACTGCTCTGCATCCAGATCTGCAGAGCTGCCTCTGGAACCAGCAGTGCTGGGAACGGGGAGGGAGCCGGGAGGGCAAAGCAATTATTTTGGAAGTGCGCTCGGCGTTTGTTGTTGGAAAAGGAGAAGTCTGGTTTGATGTGGTTTATGGGGAATAATGAGCCTTTCTTTGTGTTTGTGTATCTGATCAGTCACTAAATGACTTCCCCGTGTCTGTTGTCGGTGCTTAATTTCCCTGTTTCTGAAGTGGCTCGTGCAGCCCTCATTTATTCCGCTCTGAGCTGCCCAAAATCTTCTGTCAGATCTGCTTTCCACCAGCGCTCCGTGCTCGGCACAGCTGACCTCTTTTGGGCCCCCTGGGGAGGAGGAGCTGCTGCAAACACACGGCCTTATTACTGAAAATCAACTGATTTGGTTTGCCCAGTCCTGTTGTGTAACAAATTACTGATGCCCTTGATTTGCACGCCGTGGGACCCGCAGGACTTCCATCAGGGGGTGTTTGCTGGGGCTCCAGCACAGCTTCTGAGCCCCAAGTGGAGCTGCAGGGAGGCTGGAGACACCTCCCTTGGGCTCCTCCTGGGACATCCCAGCGTGTGTCTGGCTTTGATCCCTGTGGGAATGAACCAGCATGTCCTGGGAGGAGCAGCTGAGGGGGCTGGGGAGGCTCAGCCTGGAGAAAAGCCACAGAAACAGTGGAGTGCAGGTTCTCCTGAATAAGGAGGAGGGAAAGCAGCTGCTTTCCCCTTTCCTGGCACTAATTTGGTGTGAAAACTAGAAAGCACTTTGTTTTCTGGCCACTTGGATCTTTTATCATTAGTTTCTAGTCTCCTTTTGGTCCACGTGCTTCACCTTTTCCATAGGTCTGTGCCAAGTCCAGTATGGTGGGTATAATATCTTGGGTTGGTTGTGGTGATGTGTGAAGGATGGACAGGTGGAGGATGGAGGTGCCTTCAAATCATCCACTTCATGTACAAATACACAATGTGGAGGTTTTCCCAGTAAATCAGGAGGTTTAGAGGGAAAGTTCTGGAGGTAAAATCACTCCAGTTACAAACAGCAGACACAAAAATAATGTCTGGGACAGGCAACAATTCCTTGCCTCTGTTCTTGGAAGCTTTATCAGCCCTGAGGAGACTTGTATGATGCTTTTTCAGATAATAATAGCTATTTTCAGCCTTTTTTTGGTTCCTCCATCCTCAGGAGCACACACAGGTCACCGGGGGGATACTGGAAGAACAAGTATTCAGGAGGACTCTTGACAGGACTCCACAACAGCTGTGATGTGTCCCACATTTTGCCCTGGAAGACTTTATTTCAAGTCTTTCACAGTCCTAGAAACTCTTGTATTCATCCAGTGAGCTCAGAGTTGTTTATCCTGGTCTCCATTTCAAGGCTTTGAAGGAGATGCTGTTATTTTCTCCAGCAGGGAGGCAGTAATATCTCAGAATCCCAGGATGGGTCAGGCTGGGACAATCTGCTCAGCAGTTCTTCCTCCTGTGCAGGTGGAACTTGCTGGGCATCAGTTCCTGCCCGTTGCTCTTGTGCCATTGCTGGGCCCCCCTCCAAGGAATGGGAATGTTCTGGGAATGTTCTTCCTGCTGTTCCCCAGGATCCCATTGACCTCCTTGTCCCCCAGGCCCCACATCTGGCTCAGGGACAGCTTGGTGTCACTTCCTGCCAGAGGAAGGGGGGGTGAGTGTGGGTTTTGGGGAAACGTTTCCCAGGATGTGGATTAGGACTTCCAGCAGCTTCCCACTTGCTCAGGACCCTGGTGGGCCCGGTGGGATGACTCCTGCTGACTTCCAGACCCTGCTGGATGCATTGCTTGGGTTGCTGTTACTTTCCAATCCTTTCCTGGTGGCAAATTCCCTGGACTTTGTGCCTTGTTGTTCCACCTCAGCTGCACCAATTCACCAATCCTGGGAGCAGAGGCACAACCTGGAAACGGAGCAGGAGTTCACCAGGTACTTGCAGGAGGTTTACCTTTCATCTGCTCACGTTTGGAATTCTGCTCACTTTGTTCAGCTCCTGGCAAGTGACAAGTTGGAGATGAATGGGCAAAGCTGATATTATGTAAGGCTTTGATTATTTTCCTTGTGGGAGGAAAGTACATTTGTTCCCATCGACTTGAGCATTATTTCTGTAACGAGCACGGCATTTATCCAATTGTCATAAAAATCAGTTCCTTTCAGTAATTCCCTAATATTTATTGCAGGCTCTTCCAGCAGTTATGAGCAGGGAGAGATGTTTAATGAAAAACACTCTGAGTTCCAGAGCAGCTCGCTGGTGTCACTTTGGATGGGGTGTGTGGGCACATGGGCAAATTTCTCAGTGGAATTCCTGCTCTGGGTCAGATCTGTGGGGTCAAACTAAAGGAAAGATAAAGATAAATTCAAAGATAAAGGCATTTTTTAATTTGACCCTCTTTTGGTTCACCTAAACAGCTTTTCTGTTCCTCCCACCTCTTTTCCTGTGCCATCCCTTTACCTCATGAGTGATGTCAGGATCCCAGCCCGGGAGCTCTCCAGGAAAGTGGCTGACGTTGTGGTTTAGGGTTTTTGATTTTTCATGTTTAACCGTTGAATTCTAAAACTTCTGATAGAAAAATGAAAATCAGAGAGTCCCACAATGGTTTGGGTGGGGAGGGACCTTAAAACCCACCCAGTGCCACCCCCTGCCATGGGCAGGGACACCTTCCACCAGCCCAGGGTGCTCCAACCTGGCCTTGGACACTCCCAGGGATCCAGGGGCAGCCACAGCTTCTCTGGGCAACCTGTGCCAGGGCCTGCCCACCCTCCCAGCCAGCAATTCCTGCCCAATATCCCATCTCTCCCTGCCCTCTGACAGGTCTGAGTAGTCCTTAGAGAGGAATTTAATGTAAAATTGTAACCAACTGAATGTTTTGAGCCTTTGCTTCCTGTTTGGCAGTGGAGAGAGAATCATCCACACAAATCAGAGCCAGTTCTGAGGAAACTGGGATATTCCTTCTTTGTCCCAGTCCCCTTTTTGTAAAACAGAGATCACTGTCCCTCCCCTGGAGGTTTTGGGGTAGGATTCTCAGATGCTGTTGTAATAAAACACATGCAGGATCTGATTTGATCAACAAACCCAATATCCTTTGATGATGATGATGATGATTATATTATCCATGATGTTTCCTCCTTCTTGCACTCCCCACAAACAGTGGGATTTACTGACTTGGATGTCACTGCTTGGCAGATTTTGGGAGGGCTGCTGGCCTTTCTCTGAGAGATTAATTGGGATGATGGAAGTTCAGCACCAGCAGGATTAAACCCCTCCACTGGCTTTTGATTGCTGTTGTTCTTGTAGAGTCCACATCCTGTGGAAGATTGGAGAAGATCTGTGGGGAAAATTAAAGGATGAGTGTCTGGAGTGCCAGGACAAGGAGGAGATGGCTTCCCACTGGAAAAGGGGAGATTTGGGTGAGATGTTAGGAAGGAATTGCTGGCTGGGAGGGAGGGCAGGCCCTGGCACAGGTTGGGCAGAGAAGCTGTGGCTGCCCCTGGATCCCTGGAAGTGTCCAAGGCCAGGCTGGAGCAGCCTGGGCTGGTGGAAGGTGTTGGGGGTGGAACAAGATGGTCCTCAAGGTCCCTTCCAACCCAAACCATTGTGGGATTCATCCCCTCTCCTTACCAAGCCATCAGAGAGGGAAGGACAGAACCATTTCTGCCCCTGGCCTGTGCTTTACACCCTGGGCTGCTGCAGGAAATCTTGTTTCTTTTTTTTTTTTTTTTGTGGTTGAGAATGGGAAAAATCATCTTTTCTGCTCTAAACAAGCAGTTTGGCAGCTCAGGAATTTGCTGTCTCTGCTCCGTGGCTGTTTAAATGTGTGGCTGATGAAATATTTATATGCAAATATTATATTAATAATGAAATAAAAGGTTGTTGCGAAAGAATGAAATGTTCTGCAGCCAAAGTGGGGCCGGAATTAATGAGCTTAAAACTCAGGGAGGTTTAGGAAAGTAATTAGGAGAAACTTTTGAACAGGTTAGGGTGGTTTAATCCCTGCAGGAATCATCCAACTTCATGGAATTGTCTTGTGAATGGGGAGCAGGAGTGCAAGGAAAGCTCACAGAGAGTGAAACCTCCCAGATTATAAAATTTTAACTGGGAAAACTTATGAAAAAGGGGGGTGGCCAGGGAATCCCCAGAGGTGAGAACAAATACTGGGGGGGGGGATGGGGAAAGGCTTCATTTTGAAAGAAATCTCTTTTTAAGCAGGTTGAAATGACAGAGGAGATCAATGTTTGTGGTTTGCATTCACATTATTGACATCACAGTTATACTTTGATTCCCCCTCCCCCCGATACGACGGAAGATTTGAGTGGAAAAAGCTGATTAATATTCAGGACAGATGTTACATAACCCAATATATTAATATATTCTCAGGCTGTTGCATTTCTTTCTTACTTTCTGAATTAATTCTTTCTCCACAGAGAAGATTTGGGTTTGATTTGAGCTGTTTGTGGTGGGAGGCAGGACAGCCTAAAAAAAAAAGGGTTAAAACAGGGTCTAACCTTTAT